CACACAGAGCGTATAGACCCAGGGAAGAGAGAGGAGACAGACGGAAGTTATAGGAAAATAGGCCTTGCTCTCTTCGAAAGCTACATATTGAGCATTGAAGGGACAGTTGGAAGAATGGGAACTCAACAGACTCACCGCCCGTGATAAAGATGACCTTCCCTTCGAGAGATGGGATATCCGGAGTTGGGTCATGCATGTCCTTTTCGTAGACAAAAAGGGCCACCATTGTTTCGAGGAAACCGAGTACCTTAGATGGTATGTTGGTCGTGTCGGCTGGATACTCGGTCACTAGATGTCGCGAGGACGTCGGGAGGGACCTATTCGTCGAGCGCTGCCGGTTGGGATCTCGCTCTTAATCCAGGTAAGGCGTGATTGCAATAGAATATGTAATCGTTCCAAGGGTAGGGTAAGCTCTTGACCTAGAGGTAGCAGCTGATGCGGTCTATCCGGCTGCCCAGATGTATTTTGGCAATTCGCGATATTGAGGATGTTAGTCCGAACTTAGACCAGAGACTTGACCACGATCGACTGTGTGACTTGGGGAGCATGGAAAGACAGGAGGGTATTCACTCATTTTATATCTATTCAATGAATTCTATGCACTTCCAAGCCTCGCTCGATATGCGCAGCGAACTGCACTGACGCTTTCTTGGATCCTGCGCATGCCTAGGCTACATCTGGTTGACGACCGTTCCATTCACCATGTTACGCCGTCGGCGATGTGTGTTCCCCCATTGAAACCTGACCTGAAGATCATAAATTTCCTGTTCCAAGTGCTGTGACTGGTCGGGGCAACGAAAAATAGTCGATAACAAGGCTAGGTTCCTGGGTAACGCTGGACGGATGAGGCTATCATGAGTGTAAGCCGTCTGCATAGTGGCTGGTCCAAAGCTAGGCTCATTGGGGCATGCGGGTCTGTAAGCAATTCGTGAGAAGACTATTCGTCGGGCGGGCTGGTCCGTTCTAGTGGTAAGACAGGACTGAACGACGAAGCTTGAGGAATGTGATGACGGAATGGAGCAAAGTGAATGATGATGCCGCCATGCCGGTTTGAGCGGTGGGGATGTAAGCCAGTGGCATTCGAAGAATTTCCGCTTTGGGGATGGCGGGCGGAGGTAGTCAGCCTTTCGGCATCATGCTTCTTTCACACATCAAGGCTTCGAGCTCGTGGTTATCGGCTAGCAAGCCGGCTCTTGCTTGGCGGCGCGCGCTCCCGAGGCAAAGAGTCAAAGACTGCGATAGCTCAGGCACAACAGAATCTACTTGAAGTGGTCTGGCGTCGAGAGTGACTCACTCCGATCACGTCTCACGACACAAGGTTCTCGGAGGGATAGATTGAGCAAAGGTAGCAAGCCAATTGGTACTCCAGCGCCACTAGTGACCAAATCTAGCAGGCAAGAAAAGTCCAGCTTAAGCATCGGCGACAACGTTAGACGTGAAGCTTGCTGTGTTGCTCCCGTGCCGTCTGATGGTCGGAGTACGGATGCCACGCGGAGGAAAACGGGTCTGATCCGAGGGATTCGCTTTCGGGGTCCGAAAAGAGATGGAAGGATTGGGAAGGGTCTTGGGAGACACATGAACGGCGTCAAAGATTACGCCGAGGCCGGGGGACCCTCCACATCACATGGCTCCGGGACTCTCTGATGGATCACGAAACAGAGGGAGACGGGGTGGAACGGGCTGGGATGACACGGGAATAAGAATTGCCGCGGTGAGTTTGCCGTTTGTGTTCTCTTCTACACTACCTGATGACTGATGCCCCACGGCTGCCTGCTCCCCCAAGTCTCCAGTCCATGCGAATCATGCGAGTTTACCGGGAGATGACCATCAGAGAGGAAGTCAAAATCAGCTTGGGCCCGTGCCGTGGCCCGTCCAGTTCCGTTTTATGGACGTTTTATGGGGTAGGTATCAACGGGTTGATTGTATGTATGGAGTAGTAGTTTGTTGCCGTTTGGAGCAAGAGGAACGAGGAAAATGAAGGGACTTGAAGCTGGCACACTGAACATGCTCTCGGCGGGGAGATGGGATTATAACGCAGGGAAACCCAGTCCCTCGGGTCCGCGCAATGTGAATTTCCCCTGTTTCACTTTGAGCAAACGGTTCTTTGGACGGAATGCACATGTCGGCCCATCCATCCAATGCAACGGCCAGCGGGGAGATGACAGATGTTTACGCGGAAAGCAGCTATCTATGGGGCCTGGAGTTTGGTGACGGGCGATGACTCTGAGAGTGAAGCAGGCTGCACATTCTCTTCCAGGAGGTTCCAATGATAATCACAAACAGCGTAGGTGGAATTGCTCCGGTGTGAGCTCCCGACCATATGCATGTTTCTGATCCAATCTATACAATTGGCTGGAAGCAGCAATGTCTTTGCCCGGGGCCATCTGAGCCGTGGAACCGCGAGACGAACTGCGCAATATTGGTCCGGGGTGACTGTGCATATTTTTGACATTTGACATTTGATATTTGTTTGCTCATTGCTAAGCATTGTATGGATGGATACATGATCTAATGACACAAGGCCAAGCTCCAAGTGACAAACAGTTATCTTGTGACTGGTCACTTTTCGGCTGCAACCAGCACTTGGGTGCGGCCGGTGACCGGTCTTTCTCCTCCACCTCCAGCTTCCAGCTTCCAAATACGACCAATACGGACGAGTAGTCTACAGGTAACTTGACTGATTCCGGATCCAGTTCCGAAGGTGAGAAAAATGAAGGCAGCACTGCATTGCGAGTACGGATCTCTGTTTCCTCTATTGTCTTTCCACGGAGCCCGCGGTGTGAAGAGGGATGAGTGAGGCCAGATCCGAATGGTGCAATATGGTTGGGATTACATTGCACAAGAACACACTGAAGAGGTGCCGTCACCCGAAGCAAAGCCTCGCTGAGTGTGAATGCCAACCACGTCGGAAACTCTGGGGTTTGGGTTGCGTCGAGTGGTTGGTGTTGTCTTTGGTGATGATGGATGGCAGTGTACGCTGCACCAGACAATAGCTCAAACCACAAACCAAGACCAAGCCACCTCTTGGGTTTCCTCCTTTGGTTTCCTCTGCCTCTTGGCCTGGCTCGGGGGTTGTTCCTTGACCTCTTCTAGGCGCTAACGCAACGGTGGTGCAGTGCAGTCAGGCCCGTTCCCTTTGCTCCGTTCAGGGTCTCATGGTGTAGGCCCTCCCCGGTCCCCTCATCATGCTCCCCCACGTCGGGCCGGTAATCAAAATCGAACTTGGTCTGGAACTCCTGTCAGCCGATGTTGCCATGCAAGGCCAGAGTCTCTTTTTTGGCTGTGTTGCCTGCCTGCGCGGTCGGATATTCTCCGCTTGGGGAGTATTCCTTGCGAGACCGAAGAAGAGTTGCAGCAATTCCGTAATATGATGAGTAAAGGAAAAGCAAAAAAAAGAGAAGGAAATAAAAGGTTGTGTAGTGTTGTATTTGTGACTGTTGCAATTGGACTAACCTTTGCATGCCAATGTGGATTTTTCGATCCAACTTCCACACACCGTTTGATACCCCGGCCCAAATGTTCTCCAATCGGTAGCCCCTTGAAAATGAAATCGCGGATAATCCGTCCTTGATTGCGTTGGCGCCGTCTCATCTTAGGTGGTTTGTACTCTTTTTCTCCGTGGGATCCCACTGGGGCCGATTGCCGAATTCGAATGCAACCCTTCATCAGGAACCCAGAGATTGACAACGGGCCTGGTAACGGGGCTCCGTTCGATCATCGATCAAGATGCCAAGTGTGGGAAGATGAAAAAAAAAAAACAGTAGTGGGATGATGGGCCCGGCGAGCCTGGCGTTCGAAGGGGGGGAGGAGGGTTGCAGCTGGAGTGGTAACGAAGCGGATGGCCGCGTAACGCGTCCCTTTATCCGCGTCACCTCATCTCGATTGTATTGCTGTCTTTCTCAGGGACTCTTCTCTCTCGTTCCCATGATTCCCGAAATTCCCGTCCCGCTGCCCTTGCGGCGTACCCTTCTCGGGGGTTGCTCATTCCCACCTGCGACGACCTGACCGTCAGCGTTGCCGGCCGGCCCACCCGGGCGGGGGATAGAGAAGTAAGGCGGTGCGGTGCGGGCGGGCGGAGCGAACGACTTGGACGGGCTTGATTCATCTGCGGCTCATCTGCGGCCATTGACGAACCGAACGCATCCCCCCCCCCCCCCTCTTGCTTGCTTGCGTGGTGGGTAGTGGATGCGCGGATATACGGGATAAGGGGGGTTGAGAGCCAGTAAGCCAAGCAGAAACGTGAGAAGCACGATGCTTTTTTGGCGTGATTGAGTGATTGATCGCTCGATGGAGATAAGGTGAGATGGGTGGAGGAGCCAGTGTGTGGGTGAGATGGATGATTGCCCTGGAAAGTTGGATGGGATGGGGTGGTCTAGGATGGCCCAGACTTGCAGATCTCTGAGAAGAGTGGCAAGGGGAGAGGGGTGGTGACTGGTCGAGGTAGGGTGGAGGATGGATCGCTGAAGGATTCGTCCCGGGGCGGTCGGGCGGGAATTGGAGGATGGAAGGGAGGGTAGAGGTAGGGTAGGGGGGTTGTTGGAGCAGACAAGGAGTCTAGTTTCTGAGAAGACAGTCTTGCTCTTTGAGATGTCTGGAGCCTGGAGGGAGGGGGGATATGTGAATATTGAAAAGACATAGAGTAAAATGGAGAGAACCAGAAGCAGAGAGAACACACGGGATGATCCCTCTCGAACCGGTTCAGAAAGCTGTCAAATCCCGGCAGGCGGCAGGACGCAGGACCTCAAATGTGTGTGAAGTCGAGAAACGGATCGGGGGGTCATAGTGACAGGACAGAGCTTGAGTCGAGAATGAGCCCATAAGTTCCGTCCCATAAACCCACGGTCCACACAAAAAGAAGAGTCCAGTCAAGTCCAGTCCAGTCCAGCCGGGAGCCCGGGCCTCAAAAATCAAGGCACAACGAGGCACTGGGAAAGCTCATTACTCAAATGAGGTAGAAGGGGAGAAAGAAAGTAAACGAGTGCCCGATTTCCAAGTTTCTCTCAGTGCCAGGAAAATTGGATCTCGTGGCCCCTGACTCGGATGTCTGCGGCCTGGAGCAGGGCGAGAGCGTCGGCGGCGGTGGTCTTGTGGAAGTAGACGACAAACACGTAGCCCTCGCCCGTCTCGCTGGCGGCCATTGTGCTCGAGAGGCGTGTCGTGGCCGTGTTGACGTGGGTTGAGAAGAGGTGCTTTTCTTGCGGCGTCATGGACGGCGGGAACCCAGATGCGCGGATGCCCATGAAATTTGACGACGCTCGGGGTCGGAGGGGTCCACTCGGGGAACCCATGGTGGCGATCGCTGGAGAAGCCGTGGTGAAGGTTTTGGGGGTTATTTGGGGGAGACCGGTGTTGCTGTTGATCGACGATGTTATTGTCGTCGAATCGGGTGTTGTCCAGTTGCTGTTGCTGTAGTTGTTGTTCTTCTTCTTCGAGCTGTTGGCGAGAGAAGATGTTTGTCGTGACTGTTGCTGATGTTGTCGTCGTTTACTTTCGGGGAGGTTCGTCGACACCGGGTTACTAATAGTAAAAGTAGATTGTTTCCCGTTTCTGCTGGCCGAGATGTGTAATCAATCTTCCAAAGAATCCTTTCCGGTCTGCTCTGGCTAGCAGGCAAAGTCCCCTTAAAAATCTATGGCGTCGACACTGGAGACGGAATGACGGAAGTTTCTTTGTCTGGAAGTGTAAATACCGAGGGAACCGTCTAGAGGATGTGGAGGGGTTTCTGGATTTGGTTGTAGCGGTGGTGATTGTGGTGGTAGCGGTGGTGACGAAACTGCAAAGAGGAGAGTCAAGATTGGATGGGATAAGGAGAGGAAGCAACGCAGTCAACAGGAATGTTCCAGACAAGCAGATGCACAGCAAAGGGTTATCGAGGGCAGAAAAAGAGAGCAAAAAAGCAGTGGTTGTGGAGGGGGACTTGAAAGGGTCTTTATCATCTCACGCCTCACGGCATCCACGGGAGGGGGAAGGGGTCTGGAAGGGGGCAGCGAACAAATAACATGGCCTTGCCATGGTCGCCTGGTACTGTAGTTACACAGCAGCAGCATCCCATCCCATCGCCCATTGCCCATCGAGACCCTCGTCGCCCTTCCTCATCACACATGTGTACTGGGTAAAAGGTACTGCGGATATCTACAAGGACACAGGTACCTTGAGCTGCAAGGTTCTGTGGTAATGTACATATTACTCCATGGCTTTCTACAACTCTGCCTTGTCCGTCTCCCACGGCTCCTCATGGCCTGGGAAGAGAGATTTAGGGAGGGGCGCATGGCTGGACCGAGGGCTGTGGATATCTCACGTCCCTTGACTGTGGGCTCGCCCAAACTGTGGTGCCGCTTTTACTCGCCTTTACTCTGCTGCCAGCTGCCTCTCTCGCTCTCTCTCTCTGCTACAGCAGCAGCAGCTCTACCTTTGGCCAGTGTGTGTCCAGTCCTTTCGCTTGCCGGGGCTGTGGAGTAAGAATGGGCAAGGAACAAAGAGACCCAGCGCCATAAAAGGTACGGATACACGGAGAGGGGCGCGCACCAGTGTACCAGACACTGACCAATGCGCCAGAACGGCTCCAGGGCGGTTCCAGGTTCCAGAATTTGTATGTCGTTCCCCTTCTCTCTGCCCCCCAGTCTCTGCGCAGTGCCCAGACCTGGGTAGTACTCCAGCCAGCACCCAGGCACAGGTAGATGCCACGGAATTCAAGAACTTGCGCCCAGAGGTTGCGCACAATGACTAAGGTTACCTTAGTTGAGGAGGACCCGCGGGGGACCTGTTCGCTGAAGTCCGTTGCGTCCACTGTCTGGAAGGACGAGTGCCATCGCGGCATCATCCAGGGGCACTGGGGTTTGGGCCAGGCTCTCCTTTCTTTGCTCTCCAAAGTGTTTGAGAGCTTTCTTTCTCTGGTTTTGGCTCTGACCTTCTGATCCATTGAGACCCCTTCTGCTCTACTATGGTGTATCCGTAAACTATGCTTCTCTTCCTCCCAGCGTGGAGAGCGCATTTTTGCTTTGCCCATCCATTTCCCGTCAGCCAGGGCTGTCCAGGGCCTCAAGGATGCCGCCACTATTAATAGGATTCTAGAACAAATTGACAGTGTTTCAGAAACACGAGCCACTCTATTCTCGTACGAATTCACTTCACCACCAGCAATCAAATCTTTTGATGACCTCTCTTTTTGCGCGAGTGTACGGATACATGGCGGTGATTATATGGTTCAATGTTGAACAATATGTTTGAAAGATGCACACAATGTGGTATACAAGTCTGGATATTGGGTATTTTGACTCAAGTTTGAGGGGCTCGTTTAACCAGTTAGCCGAACTTTTGCGGCCCCTCCAAGGCTGCATTTCCCGTCATTTTGAGTTGGCCCTTGAGCATGCCGTCTGGAACCTTGGGCAGAAACGGCCCCCAAGTTGCCTCTATTTCGGCTCCCTTTGTCTTCCATTCAGCCCTTTTGGCACTGTCGGCCGCGGGATGCGTTTTGAAGGTATTCGCCTTGGCCATGAATATGTTCCAATTGTTTTGCAGCTTCGGGAAGTCGGAACGGTTGTTGACCAAGAAACACATTATCTCGGTACTGCTGATGTGGTCTTTCGAAGCCAGCATCCTTCACATGTCCACAGTAAGGCATCTATCTACACATGAGATTATGAGGGAGAAATGGCACCGGAAGGAAAAAATCCTGCAGACTGTCATTTCAACTCAGCGCCTCCGATTGGACACACTCGATCGAAATGCCTCGTCGCTAATACGAGATGTCCCGGCGATCATTGCCCTTCACTTTACTAACCGGTGACTTATTACTGCAGCAGCGCAGACTGGCAGCAAGCCATAATCAAAGAGGCCACTCGCGCGCCGTTCCAACCCCTCGTATAAGCTCATTCTCGAGTGGATCTGCGCGACTCCATTCGCAGAAAAACCGCCTATTCCTGAAAGAAGGCCATTCCCGTTCTCAAATGCTCATGTACATTACATGCGTTGATGCCCATATGCGAAGCTACACTCTAATTTCGATGCTTCCTTCATGGCTGCTCTCTGCTCCTCCCCAAGGCCGACCTGTAATATCAGCACCCTACTATCAGCCAGGCTTATAATGTATTTCCGTTCTGTTTCGGCATCCCTCCCTTCTATCTGGGACTGACATCTGACGAGACCAAGAGAGGCTGAACTCGCCGACGCCGTTGAAGCTGCGGTCATAAGATCAAGGGGACTGTACATATAGCCACGCGGGCCACGGGTTGGGCACAGCGCAGATCAGTGCAGTCCGTCCTTCTCCATTCTCCATTTCTCCAGTGAGCGATTTTTACCAAGCGGCCATGGAAGCGTTTTGGCGAGGCGGCAAACCAATCTACGGACAGGAGCAAACTGTGGGCATGCTCCGGCCCGAAGTGGGAAATCGTTGCCCGAATGGAAAGGTCTCCCGAACTTCAGATCAACGGCTTCTGGCCTGATCACACGTGTCGTCTTGCTCATCACTTGTCTCGAAACTGGAGAGCCGTTATTTGCAAGGCGGCACCGGGGAAGCTATCTCACGGCTATCAACGTTAGTGCGGCTGCCTTCTTGTCACTCTATTCCTGGATGCCCCCTTTGTGCAGTGTTGTACAACTTGACTTTTGACAGTTCCACCGCAGGAAGGGGGGGGGGGGGGGAGGAATTGAGAACGGTCTAGGCCTTCGCCGAAAACGCGAAGCCGACAATGCCAACATAGGACAAACCGACTCGTGCAAGTCGCATCACCATCTACAGCACAGCCTGGAGCTGGCCTGTTGCTGCTGCGCGCGCAGGAAAGCATATAGAGCGCGCATAATCCGCGGCGGCTGAATGGGGGGTCCTGGGTTCAATCACGATCAATGTAACCTTGTAAGCGAGCTAGACGCCGCCGCCGAGGGGACTGGGCTCTTGGTGTCGCAATGTCGACATCGTGCATCGTGCATCACGCGCATCCCGTTGGTGTACCGTGTGGCCCTTGAGCCTGGTCGCTTGAATTGCAGTTTCGAACAGGTGGCACGAAGGAGGAAGAGGAGATTGAGGCACAGATCAGGAGGTGAGCTTGACAGAGAGAAGAGAGAGTAGCGAGGGGTTCCACGATCCACGATAGCTCAGAATAGGAGATTTTCGGTTTCAAGTTGAGTGTAGGTGGTGGCACGACGGCGGCGGCCGGGGGTAGCTGGCCCTGGGATCCTTTGACGATTTGCTCGCCTCTTTTCTCGCCTCGCCGACCCGGACCCAGCTCCGGACCCTTTCCCCGTGCGTCCCTAGGTAGGTAGCTGGTATAACTGCTCATGTATCCAGGTCAAAGGTACTCTGAACTTTGGGAACTCCGTACTTGATGATATGGAGGAGGCCTGTTCGAGTTCCATATGGGTGACAGACGGATTCTCGCGATGGAACCTGGCCACTGCAAGCTAAGCAAGCGAGCCGAAGCTTATTGCACTCCAACCTCGCCCGTCAAATTGAGTGTATTTCCCACAAACGTTGCGTGATGTGATGTGCACAACTGCCGGAGCTCTGTTCCGTCACCATAGTTATGGATCAGGATAACTTCGATGGAGACCCAGCTGGCCCGGCCCTCAGGTTCAGGTGTCTGTGCCGGATCGAGACAGACTGACTGGACGCGTAACGGTAACGCACATGGCAGTGTGAGAAAGGAAAAAGTTCCTACAAAATCCTTGAGATGGGATTCTTGTGAATGCTACCCTACAGGCAAGAGTAAGGTACCTTGGCAGAGTGCCTGAGCTTAAGTCACTATGTACGCGACAGCTATTTTGGCATGTGTTTGCCAGACGGGAAGATAAACTTGTCCGCGTCAATGTGACACCTCCTTTCAGGGTCCTCTTTGTCTCGAAACCCGCGGTTTTGATTTCCCATTGACGAGTCCACACGGGCTTACGTGCCCTCGCTCATGCTAAACCAACTGTCCAAGCAGCGCAACGCGAACAAGAACCGTCCCACCCCCACGCGAACCCGACGAGACGTTCCTTTGCACGTTCCTGCGCATCTTCAAAGGATGTTTTCTCGTTTTCTCTTCGCTGTTGCGCAGCCGTCCACATTGTGGCATTGCAGCTTGCGCAGTCCTAGGCCGCCGACAACACCACCACACCCCTTCCCGCTTGGCACACTGTCACACTGACTCCGCCTCCGAGGATCTCGCGGTTTGGCCGTTGGCCCGTTGCCGTTGCTGTCTCCAGCCCCCGTGCAACCCGGTCGATCCTCTGCCTTACCAGAATACGTGATCAACCGAGGAGGAACCCGGGTCCCGCAGAAGGCTTCCAGGAGTTGAGGCATTACTAAACACCAAGACCTGCGAATATTTTACGCTCGTCCGTTCCGCGTCACGCTACTGGTGATCCTCTGCCCTGGCAGAAACACTCTGACGCGCAACACAGATCGTACGCAAAACCCACGAGGTATGAACAGTCACAAGTCATCCACGACGCGTGTCTTGTCTTGTTACCCGTTGACACATCTTTTTTTCCACTTTCCACATGTTCCTTCATATCCTTAGTTGCAACAAATGTCCTTAGCTGCGGTTGCGACGTTGGATGCCTAGCGTGACTAACATTTATGGTGCTGCGCCTTGGCTGGACTTGCCGTGCAGGCTCGTGTATGAAGACATGGTGACCCTTGCTTGAGGGTCCCTGGGCGTCGGGCGCAAAAAACAACTACGGATACGGAAAACAGTTCATCGCACAATGAAGCCCAAAGGTCCAATCTCTTTCTGGAAGGCCACTAATACGGCACCTCCGAGGCTGATTGAAATTGCTGCCCGCGGCAAGCAGATTTGGCGCCGCTGGGCGTGTTGTGCGAACAGACCACGAAACAAAAAAGCCAAGAAGGAAGTCTGGGATATCTCCTTTCGCTCGCAAGAAAAGTTTCCGAGAGACGTGGCTTTTTGGTTACTATCGAGTCGGCCCGAAAGAAGAAGCTCTTCGTCGAATACCTCGCCCAAAGGATGGATTGATCTGGGAATGAGATGTGACGGATACGGACATCAACGAAGAAATGCGTATTTTAGAGTGCGATTAGCTATTCAAGGGTAATTATTCCGGTGCTGGGATGTTGACTCAATGACGCGGATCCAGCCAACGCTTCTAGAGATACACATGCGCCTGCTGCGTCTCGACGCTGCTGACTGGTCTGCAATTCACGAGACTTTCTGCAGCAGCCACTGGTTTCCGCATATCGCATGCCCCGATTCGTAGAGGCCTCCAGACTTGTGATGCTTCTGGTTGGGCCACTCGAAGGTCGGCGGGATCTAACCCTGGATACGAACCTCCACAGTCATTGCTGAACTTATTACATGGTCTTTTCACTCTGGTACAAATGCTGTTGGCAAGAGGCTGTTTGGGCCGTTCTAGAACACCATTGGTAGTGAGTGACCAGGTTGCCGTGATGGTGGGTGATATCGCTGAAAAGCCTTTGTCCTTTCATCTCTTGGGTGTAGCGGATATCGAACGACATTGTACCGGCTAATTCCACTCGATACACACCTTGTTGACAAAGTACCACCAAATAAACGCGGGTACCGAGGACATATGGCCCGATACTTGAATCCCTAGGTGTCACACGGTGACGTATAAGTACCCCAGACAAGCAGGAGTAGTCATTCCGGATTCGATGATGAAGCAGGAGGCGTTGTTGGCGTATGCAGTCGATAAGATCCTGTCTACCCATTCGATGTCCCGGAACAAGCAGGCAGAAGAGCGGTCTGGAATTCCGAGAGGGATAATGTGACTGGATGAACGAAGCAGGCTTTCTTATATTACGCCCGAAATCTGTCTAGTGAATAGCACAAGGTCAAAAAATCTCGGTAGTAATATCCCGAGTTGTTTGATATTCTAAATTTGGCCTTAGACTTTGAGTCATTACAGCGGATTGTAAGGGTCAGGATGTTGAAGGTGTTTATTGCCTACCAACAGTGAATTTGAAGCCATGATCTTAACTTTCAGCTACCCATATCTATTCAGCTAATTTCGTCACAGTATTTGGTCGAGGAGGCCACGGCATATACGATACATCGACCACGTGATAATATGATGGTTCATCTAAGTGTCTTGACAGCAATAACATGTAATAACCTATAATTCCCAACCAAACTTTAACTCACCCATAGTTTCTTATATCTTACGCTTTCAGCATCTACGTAGGTGAAATAACAGCAAGAAAGTAGCGCACAAGACGCTCTAAAGATTCATAACCACTTTTGTAAGGCACGGACTATCTCCAAGCAAAAATAGAGAGACCGGCGAAAAGATGAGATTCAGAGATTGAATTAATTTGCATACGGCATCGTATCATGTGAACAGAACTTTTTCTGGAGGAGGCTTTCAACGGTCCCCTTGACCTCTCATAATCTAATCTACGAATATAGTATAAAGATCTGAGAATCATATCTCACTAACTCAAATTCCGAAGATAATAAGTGTTATGTTAGTATGAAGGTGTTTTGCCCTGACTTTGCTTGGGGTTTCAAAGTTTCGATGACCGCCTTATAAGTTGTAGGAATAATCTCATGAGCCCTCATTTCTCAAAACAATCTACCATCAGTATGAATGATGGATCTGAT